AGTACAGAAGGTCTTATAAAACTTTAAAAAAAAGAATGTGAAGAAAAATAGATACCAAAATATATTAAGTCTAAATCTGGTAAAAACAAAAGAAAGAAAACTTGGGTAGTTACTCAAAAAGAAAGTTAGCAACTAGTGTTGAGAAAACTAATTTGAAAAAATTGTCAAGGTATTACTATAATCTGTTACTTTAATCAACAAAAAACAAAAGATAATTTAAAAACAATTTTCATCAAATGTTTAGGATGTTTTTTAAATAACAGAAATAGAAATTAATGCAATATAGAAGTAGAACCAGATATTATTTATACTATACCATTTCTAAACTATCAAAAAAATACTAGAAAAGCACAATTACTGAAGATTTCTTGTCTTCTACTTGAGCTTGATAGAATAACAACAACAAGTATAGTACAAAAACTCAAGATTAAAGAAATATTCAAATTGAAAGAATAATATATGTACTAATAGGAGACTAGGAACAAGAAATAATTAGAAACAATATTAAGTAAGAAGTATATCAAGATCACCTACTTGAAATTTTTTAGTGTAATCAAGAATTACAGGAAAAGCTGACCTTAAACTCAGATAGATTTTTGATTGATCATGAAATTAAAATGCAAAAATGAAAGTAGCATGAATACAAACTGAAGAAGCTAAAAAAAAAAAGTACATTCTAGACAGGAGTTAAAAACTGGTTCTTCTATATAAGAGCAAAATTGGTGGCACTAGTCACAATAGTTTTAGTAGTTCTAATAAATAGTATGGTAGAAATCTTCATTGATAGTCAAGTCTGCATCTTCAAATAGAAAAAACTTGAAAAAGAAAATCCCAAGATAATACAAAAAAGATGACTAAAAGAAAAGAATTGATTATTATGAACAAGAATACTAGATTTTATATAAAAAAAACATATTCTACTAATTTTAATCAAAGTCAAAACTTACTCTAATGATCCATAAAATTAAGAACTAGATCAATTGATCTAAGAAGCACTAGCAATAGAGTGGAATAGTCTCAAATAAAGCAAGATACCTACAATAATATTGTGATAAAAGAATATGATAAATAGTTCAATCTGATAGTTTATCAAGCAAATTAATAAGAGATCAACTACTTTGTTATAGTAACTGTAACATAGAATAGAAACAAAATGATACTATCAAGTTTAAGAACATCAAATTTATTTATAAAACCTGATATGAGATAGATTAAAGGATAGCAGTACATGGGATATCTCTTTTAAAGATTCACAAAGAAAAAGTTTTCTAATTAAATTGATTAATTATAAGCTACCTATCTTAAGTAAGCTAGTAATAAAAAAACCTGACTTACAAAAGCAAGCAAGTTATATAACATGCAATTAGCAAAAGAAGATAATCAAATATCTATTAAAATATTTTGATCACAAAAATGTGATCCTGGTAGCATAAAAAAAAAAGATTTGAAATATTTCTTAAAGAATTTGATTAGTTATATTGAAATAGAAAAAGGAAAGTATATGAAAAGAAGATACAACTATCAATCAACAATAGAAAAGAAAAAAATGAGATAGACAAATGGGTCTCTAAACTCATAGAAATATCTTTGCAAACTGGTTTAAGTACACTCAGCTTTTGTACTGAGTTAGTAGAAAATAATATAATTAAAGAAGCTGTTAATCTAAATTGTTATAGTAAAAAGATAGGAACAATAGTAAAAAAATAAATTCTAAGAGTACAAAAAAAAGTTTGTAATCAAATCTATAAACAAGTCTAAAATATAAGATGTGAAAAGAATATAGAATGAGAACAAGCACAAAGAATTATTAGAAAAATGAAATACAAGAAGATTCAGAAAGTAAGAAACCAAAATGTTTCACAAGAAGATCCTAATCATTAAATTACAAGGCAAAGAGAATATAAAAAAAAAGAGAAAACAAAAAACCTTGTAAAAATTATAAGAAATGTAATTAAGTATGGGACAAAATGATTAGATTTTAATTTTTGTTAGAATCTTAAAAAGTGATCTGCAGTAGTGATCTGCTAACAATGAAGTTAGGAATTGGAATGATTTTTATCTAAACTACTAATGGAGTGATAAATCACTTCTGAAGTTGCACTTAGAATTTTGAATAAAAACTTTTATAAGTGAATTAGTTAGAAATTTAGTTTTAATATTATATATATAATATATAGTTTACAATTACTTAATAAAGCACATATAACTGACCTAATGGAGGATTAAAAAAATACTTAATAAAGCTAGACCTGTGAATCTATAGTATAGTGATAATACTTCTAAGTCACAATCACAAGATCCAAAGTTCAATACTATATAATAGGTCAAGTGAAAAATTAAACCTCAATGATACAATAATCTCATTTACTCTATAATAAGAATTTGATATCCCAATATGACTATAACAAAAAATTACAGTATTTACTTATCATGTCTATAACAAGATAGGAAAATTAGTCCAGTATGCAGTTGAAGATACAAAACAGGTTTCAAATAAGGTAAAGCTAAGTAATATGACATTATTGATACAAAATAAATTTTATATTCGAATATCAAGTTGGATAATAAGGTGTTTCAGTATTTAAAAAAACACAAGACAAGCTCCTATAAAATGCAAGGATAAATTGTAAAGAAATTAAGGTAATTATGAAATAAAACAGGCTTCCATAAAATAAACATATTAACAAGAGTCATAAAGATTCTGTATAAGAGACCTCAATATAATTGGTATTGGGTATCTTAGGCAAGTTCTTGATACATTAGCTCCTTATACAAGAATGGCAATAAGTTATCCAGTGAACCATGGTTCTAGAAAGTGCCACTTTGTTAATGAGGTTTAAAACATATGAATGATATCCTATTAAATTAATAAATTAAATATATTTTCATCAATTTTCAGACTTTATTAAGAATTAAGAAAAGTTCTATATTAAATAGTTATATAGTTTCCCTATCCTGATTGGATGAAATGTAAATAGATACTCCTTGTACTATTCTTTAATTGGTAAATCCTTAGATAGTATGGATAATTATTCATCCCAATTATTTTTAGAATCTATTTTAATATTAATAAAGGTTTTGATATTAATACAAGAATAAACTAGCAAGTTTTAAAAAAAAATACTTAATATAGTTGATTCAACCAAACTTATTTGTACTTTGTAAATAGATAAATATAGTTAAAAGCTATATAATAAAATATATAATTATCAATAACAAGTTAATATAGTTAGTATTAAGCTTATAAAATTTTATATTTTACTAGATTAATATAATTATATATTATATATATCAGATAAGCTTAAGCATTTTTCAATATATCTAAATATTATTTACTTGGATTTTAAAAAAAGGTATATTATTTTCTTTGTTATCATTTGTAGTATCGATTAATTTAATTGACTGATTATATTTAAATAGAATATCAAATTAGAATATTTTAAGTTAAGAAAATAGAATTTTTAGAGACTATCAAAATAACAAGATCTTTGATAGGTATTTATAGAAATTATATTAGAAATCTTTCTTTATGTAATTTTTTTAATAATATAATTATATTTTTTAGCTACTAATCAATAAAAAATTAAAAGTTTCATCTTTATGCAACTTAACTTGATTTGCGTTAAATTTAAATAATTTAATATAACTTAACTTTTATATAATAATCAATAAATTTGATTAAAAGTTGAATTTTTGATTTGCTCCTTAAGTGATATTGAACTACAGATCTTGTAACTATAACTTGAAAATATTACTAATATGTTATTGATCCATAAATCGAAACAATATGAATAATTTTATTTAAATAATTTTTTATTAATATAATATTTTTTTGACAATATCCTTAAAATAACTAAACAAAAAAAATCAACTGATTATTTTTCTTACAGAGAACTGTTGCCTTCTTTATCTTTGTAATTTTTACAATTTTCTTTATTATTGTAAACTTATTTCATATTAACTACATCAATAATAATAACAATTTATTTAATAGCACTTGATGCCAAATTTTCAATTTTAACCATGATGGTCAAATTGCTTAAAAAAAGACCATCTCCTGTATTGCTTAAAATATTGGTTTTGAAGTTGCACGGATATTAATGCCATAAGTTAAATTGCTATTTAAAACTTGAATTAGAAAGAATATTGAAAAAGATTAAAATTAAATTATTATTGAAATATTAAAATTTATCTTTATTAATTAACTGATTTATTTAGAAAATGAAGAATTATATATGCAGGTCAAAAAACTAGAAAGAAAAAATACTGAATTGAGAAACAATTAGACTTAATGGAATACAGTATATAAACAATAGTTTTTTGAAGAATTAGAATAACAAAAAATAAAAGATTCAAAGAGGAAATTGACCAGCTCAAATCTGTGAAACCTAACTCAATCCTATATAATTATAAAATCTAGAACAGTCAAGATATTGGAATCTGAAAGTTTAGGAAAGCACTGAAGAATTCAAATTTAGAAGAAATAGTAGAGGCAAAACTGGTGAAACTAGCCATATTCAGGTTAGTTACAGTCAAAGGTACACAAGTACATATAAAAATATATGAATTATTCTCACATGTACGGTACATAATCTTCTTGTCATCTTATACACACATTTCACGACTACGCGTACTTTTCACAAGTAATGTTATAAAAATATATATCAACAATCATCATCAAAATCAAAGTCAAGTTTTTTCATGTGCATATATTATCACGAACGCGCATTTTACGGACTACGCGTATCATATGGTGAAATAATCCTAGCGGAAATAATATAATTATGTTATTCCGCTATTAGAACACTTCGCCTCGATTGTATTTTTAAGGAAAGTCCTCAACCGTACATAATATGTGAAATCATTTTAAGTACGTGTGTGAGTGAGTGAAAAGAATTTCTTTATTGCCATTCTCGTGCAATTTTATAGTAGAACAGTGGGGATGAAAAAATCACATCCATAGTAAAAGGCAGTTACTTTTTCAGAGTGCTGCTCATCACTCACTCACCCACGTGATACCGCCAAAGATGTAACGTGGCATCATCAGAACAAGATGCAAACTGATATAGAAGTGCAGAAATAGAATAAGGTTTTTAGAAATCTTTCTGGTTTGGAATATATGCACATAAATGGCAAGCTACTTTGAAATACCGTTTCAATGTCTTTTGACCAACTCAAACTGGTAACCTCGTTCTCGTGAGCCTTCAATATAACAGGACTTTCATCAGGAAAATCAGTTTCCCACATGTATATATTTTTGTCACTTGACCCGCTAATAATGTATCTGTCATCAGGAGAAATCGCCATACGAATATAAAACGATGAGCACCGAAATGTTGGGCTGCTAAAGCGTGCCAACGGAGCGCCCAGATTTATTGGATCATACATATAAACACTATTTTTTTGATGACGATCACAGAATTTATCAATTTTGACAGTAAGAATATGAAATTTTATGCGAAGGAACTGGAAACTTACTAGTTATCGGTGCTATTTGTGTACAATCGATTTCCTCTGTTATTTAGTAATAGAGCAGATACACCTATTGAAATTTAAATGCGGATAAAGAAAGGACACATTCACTCATTCATTCATTCATCAATCATCGCGAGAACAAAATATACTTACCATGTGGGCGTTTTGCTGTCGAGCCATTAATGGATGTTTGAACCGGTGGAGTGTCCTTTAATGCACTGTGATTCCTCAAATCCCAATATTTGATAATACTATGAAGTAGAGCAGCTAATTGTGTGAATTGACAGCATATACGTGAATTGGAATTCTTTTCTTTTTTTTTTTTTTTTTACCCATCAAGAGCTCCTGTGGATGCCAATAAATTTTCACGATGCTTCAGAAATTGTGCTCCAGTTACACTACACGTCGGTTTACTCTACAATGGATAGAAATGTATCAATTTTTTTGAAACCTTTGTGAAAAGTAAAATCAAAGAAGATTAGTAACACTAACCCTAATCGGAAGGGGGCAACTTTTCCTTGTTCTCTTTTGCGAGGAGTCCGGGGAATGCGCGAAACGTATACTGATAGTGGGCTTATAGCACATTTCTGATTCAAATATAACGAGAATTTAAAATTTTGCTGGCTATTTCTCTGAGCGTAAATGAAGACTGACATTGAAAACATGCCTCCTTCCGGTGACTGCAGGCCAGAAGTACGAACATCCCAAATGAAAATGTTGCCGTCTCTGGATGCAGTGACCCACATATCTTGCAAAAAAAAGAAGTATCGTTTGTGTGAATGAATAAACTCAAATAGTATGACTCGCGATACATATCAAATCAAACCTGCTTACTTGGATCAAACGAATTGTAATTTACGGATTTAATACTGCATGTGTGACCAATGAAAACTGCTTTGCATTGTTGCGATTCTACGTCCCATAATCGAGCTGTTTGATCCCCTGACGCCGTGACCTTCAGGATTAAAGCGATTCTTTATTATCGCATTAAATAAAATGAAATCATTGGTATCTATATTTTTTACGTACCATTGATCGATCATCTGCACTCCACATAACGTCAAACACCGCGTTATCATGAGAACGGAACTGTGTACGAACCTGATCTGTTCAAATGATTATACCCATGATGAGATATGGTCAAATATGATAATCAAAAAATTATAGAAAACTCACCCATCTCCACGGTGTTATCACGCCTAGCATCAATAAACCCCACCATGCCTTCTTCATCCGCTACTGCTAAATACTTTCCATCCTTCGCAACTTTGTGAACACGTGATTATAATTGAGAAATGAATTAATCGAAATTTTTAATGAACCCAAGAGATTTATCCTTGGTGTTAATAATGCTTACCATGACTAAATGAACAGGCAAATGGCGCGACTAATCCTCGGTCTCCAATGAACTTGAACGAATCTTTGTCAGAGCTTGCAAATTTTTTGATAAAAAAGCGCGTCGAAGCTTTCAATTAATTAATATATGATAGCATCGTTGTTATATATTAAATATGAAACGGATGTACAATTCATTAATATTATTATTGAGAAACTTTACCATTCCACCTTCTTGAAGCCATCACTGACCCACCAGCTGGTGTTCCCCAAAGCTCCCTTTGAAATAAGGCATTGTTAATCGTCAAACCGTTATAAGGTTTCTTTGGTTTTTTCTGACGCGTCTGTGGGATGTCAAGTATCATTTGATTATTTTCTTTGTTCTCCTCGGAGGTTGGCAGGAAAAATTCTTGTATCGCATTGGTCTTTATTCTCTTTTTTGGTGGCGAAGTTTCAGAATTCTCTCTACACGAAACATTCGTACTTTGACGCGTTATTTCTGAAAAAGGTGTTTTTAAGTATAATAATATATTTGCATCGTGAACGCCATCATTTTTTGTTTGTTTCTTGCGACAACGGAAAGTATTCTCGGCCATTTATGAGGAGTGTTTCTGTAGGAGTCACTAACTATAGGAGTAAAGGGAATCAAAAGTATGCGTGTTGGGGTGTCTTAAATAAAAAGGTATTATGCTGATCATTTGTGCTAATACATATATATAAAGGTAATTATGCTATGGGCAAATTGAATGATCGAATACCAATGAAATACTTTTTTTATTACTCCCATCGCTCCCCTAACTTCAATACTCTCGAAGCATTCCGTCTCCTCCCCTCTCGATTGTCGACCGTGTTCTAAAGTGCTATTGCAATTTACAATCAAATGTTCAAATTAAGTAAAAATTCTTGACGTCTTAATTGCATTAATGCTATTTTAATTTTACTCATCAAAGAAACATTTAATAAAAGGTTTATTTTTTGATCTTTGGTATCTGAAGTCTGGTATGGTCAAAGTTGGTGTTACTATGAATTCTACAGAGTAATGGATCACATTTATTCAATATCATTCCTTGCTATAACTGAGTTTAATAGGCCTGTTGAAAGAATAACTTGACATTTTTTTTTTCAAATAGATAATCAGTTGAGTAATTAGTACTAACATTCTTTGAAGTTGAAATATTATAAAATTTTATATATAATTTTAATATGAAAATTTTTAATTACTTTTAATAATACTATTATTTCGATTGTTTAATTAAAAAAAATTTTTTTTCATTAGTTATAATATATGAAAAGACAAAGAAAAAACTTTAACAAGAAGAAACCTAACAAGTAGTAGTAGAATAGACTATATTTGGATTTCTTATAGTCTAACAAATTATTCACTATTCCAATTTGATAATCAAAACATAAAAGATATTACAGGTAGTGATTACACTATGCTTCTAATAATACTAAATAACAAAAACCTTTTTATAAAAAGCAAAATCACAAAATTCATCACAAATATATCAAAGAGAATTGATATAAAGGGAATATTTCCATTACAGTGACAAGTCTTTCATGAAAGTGTAGATTATAAATTTAAAATATCATTAGAACCTTTGTTTCAAGAAGAACCAATCAAGATGAAAAGAAGGATTAGGCAAACAAGCTATAAAAAATCTTTGAGAAACTATTATATAAAGTAGTTTTTAACAAACTAGCAACAAAGAATACAATTTAGTTAAAAGAAAAAAATTACAAACATAGTGTTGAATTTACCAACTATAAAAAAATATTATAACCTAAAGGACTTTACAACAAAGCAAAGATATTAAAAGAAATAGATAAGCTACAGGCCTTTAGCTTAACTATAAAAAAACATAATAGTATCTATAGTCCAAGTCATCAGATTAAGAACTATTATATCCAATATAGTATCTCTAATATATCATGGAAATTCTTGAAAAAGATGTTCAAGATACTATAGAAGATCTCAAGTTCATATATCAAAAATTAGAAGTCAAAAATAAAGAAATAGTATTAAAACTACTTTGAAATAGAGATATGATGATTTTAGAAACAATTAGAGATGGATGATCAGCTCTCTAACCAATTAAACAAAAAATAAAATAGTATTAAATAGAATTAATATTAAGCAAAATAATAATAAATATATCACAATATAAAAAGATGAAATAAAAAAGAAAATAAGATGGTATTACTATGAGATCTTTAGAAAAAGAAATGCTAGCTATAATAATTTATCAAAAGAATAAAAAAAAAAATACAAATTAAAATAATATATCCAAATAGCTTGATATAATAAATTATTTGAACCAATTTCACAAAAAGAACTAAGTGAAACACTAAAGACATATCCTAATAACAAAGCTCCAGGAAAATCTTATATCAATTATAAAATGCTGAAAAGGTTAAACCAAAAAGAAAAAGATTTCTTAAGAAGAATGTTAAATAACTTTTTAAGATGAGAAGTTACTCTGAAATATTAATAACAAAGTCATATATATTCTATAGTTAAATCTAAACCTTAAAGTTGGAACTCTCAAATATCAGACCTATTATTTTACTAGAGATCACAAGAAAGTGTTTCATCAAAATTCTTACAATAGAATAAAAAATATTTATAAAATCAATAATATACTCAAAAGACCAAACTATACAGAACTATCAGGAGAAAGTACAATAGAACCAATTCAAATTTTCAACAATATTTGTGAAGATATCAAAGAAAACAAAAAGAAACTGTGAATTCTTTTTTAAGATATTACAAAAGTATATAATACAATTATACTAGATATACTGGTAAAAACAATAAAAAAATCAAAGCTTCAAAAGATTTCACAAAGATCATAATAAGCCTTTTTAAAAATAGAAAATTCTGAATTATATTTAAAAATGATTGCACAGAATCAATAGTAGCTGGAGATGGAATCAACTAAAGAGAAGTTATCTCATCTTTACTATGAAGAATTTTTTATGATCTTCTCCTTTGTGAAATTCAGAATGATACATAAAAATGATACAAAATGTTAGTTACATAGAACCCTAATATATAAAGGTAAATTACAAAAAGATTAGAATTAAGGCATGCAATTATAGCTTTTATAAATGATAAAATGTGGATAGCAAGATCTAAAAAAGATATGAAATAATTCTAAAAACTATAATAATTTTTTACAAATCCAATAATTCTCAAATAAATAGTAACAAATCAGTTATAATTACTATTAATAATCCTAATTGCTATTCTGAAAAGATGAAAGCAGGTACTGAAAAAGAAGTGATTAAAGAACTCAATAGAATAGAATAGGCTAGTTTCTTAGGAATCTGGATATACAATTAAAAAATAGTAATAGATCTTAAAGAATATTGCTTAAAGAATATTGCTTAAAGAAGTCAATATAGTCACAAGAGTTCTTAAATATAAAATGATAACAGACATACAAGTCCTCTATATTCTGAATAAAGTATTAATACCAGGATAGAATTTAAAATACAACATAGCATATTGTTCTGAAAAATATATAACACCTTAATAACAAAATACAGAAACCTTTTTAAGAATAAAAGTGATTTATGTATATTTATACTTAACAACATAATTTACTATCCAAAGATTTATAATTTAAAAAGTGTTTGGATACTACAAAAAGAAAATCAAGTAACAGAACTTTATAACAAATTAAATAATCCTAAATCAGCAAGAATTACAACAATTATTAGACTTAAACAAGCACAGATAAAAAATTGAAAATCACTTAATTTATTAATCTGTAAATCCTTAAGTTATTTAATAGATAAAGGCAATTTCACACTTCAAGTAACCAAAATTGCTAAAGATATGGAAATAACATTTCATAGTTGGAAATGGCAAGATATCTTTGAATAGAAAAAGTAAAACATTTGGATTAGAGAATATTTTGTATTAGAAGAATATAAAAAAACTATACTATTATTCAAAAACAATCAATTGATGTACTTGAATTAGTTAATTAAATAGGAAATCAAAAAAATAAGAGACTGGTATATGCTTCAGCTTCAGCAAGAAATAAACAAAAGATCCATACCAGAATGGTTTCAAATTATAATCAAAAATTTCTTAAAAGAATAATTAAAGCAACTTATAAGATCCTGAAGAGGAAATTATATAAAATATGAATCAGAATACTTCAAAATAGAATCTATTTCAGACAAGCAAAAAAAATTGTAAAAAGTAATGAAAAGTAAAAGAAGTCAAGTAACTTGAAAAAAACTAAGACATGAAAAAAAGAAAAATATTGTGATAATAAAGCACTTTACCAGTTGTAACATTAACAATAACTAGGAAACTAATATACAAAAATGTTCAAAATATTCAGAAAACATAACACTAAATAGTAATTGTATCATAAAAAGAGGAATAGAAAAGATATACACAATATCATATTTCAATATAAAAAAGTTTCCCAAAAGAATACAAGATTTAAAAATCTTTAACCTTAAATTAGTACTTGTAAAAAGAATTAAATAAGTGATTTATAGTAATCAAAGCCCTTTTAAAATTCAAAATGACAAAGTAAATCATGTGATTATCGAAACCTGAAAAGAATATATTATTAAAGAAAATATTAAATAAGAAGTATATCAAAATCATCTAATAGATATACTTCAATATAACCTTAAATTTAAAAAAAAACCAATTTTCTATTTTGATGGATCACATATTAATTATGGTAAAGAAAAAATAAAAATTAGAGCAGCTTGGATTCACATTGACAAAGAAAGAAAGAAAAGCAAGTTCTAAATAAAAGTAAACAATTAGTTCTTATTTACAAGAGTTGAATTGATAGCAATCATAACAATACTTTAAATAGTTCTAATTGAAAGCATAGTAGAGATCTTTATAGACAATTAGGCATATATTTTCAAATAAAAATCCTTAGAAAAGAAAAATCTGAAAAAAATATACAAAAGATGGCTTAAAGAAAAAAATTGATATGTATGATAGAGTTAATAAAAAAAAATAAATAGTTTAAAGCTCATAAAAATCAAGGTAAATTCAAATAATTTCTATAATAAAAAAGTAAATACCTTAGCTAAGGAGCTCTAGAATTTTCATTGATTGAATAGAAAGATCTTACTTCATATAAAATTATTATTGAAATCAAGTGAAAAGAGATGACTCTAAATAATTTAGTTAGGCAGTTTGTCAAAAACATTAATAATAATATAATAGTCTATTAATAAACACTACAAAATAGAATAGAGAAAAAATAAAGTAATCATATTTTAAAATACTAGACTTACTGTATATATGAAACCTAATATAGAAAAGAATTAAAGATAGTTATATATGGAATACATCTTTTAAAAAATCTCAACAAAAAAACTTTCTTATTAAGTTGACTAATAGTAAGTTATCTACTCTAAGTAAGTTGGTTCTATGAAGACTGAATCTATACAAACAAATGAAATGTATTGCA